AGATAATAGCATCTTGTCATCTGCATAAATATAATAGGAACCATTTTCTAGATAATTTTTTAAGTCATTCACAAATATTAAATAAAGTATAGGGCCTAGGAAACTTCCTTGTAAAATTCCCCTTTTCACAGTTTTTATTTCACTCTAAGTGTTATCTATTTTGACCCTAAATGATTTTCCTTCTAGATAGTTTTTAAATAACTGTAATACTTTGCCTCTAACCCCCATGCTTTCCAGTGCATCTAACATCTTTTCATGGCTTATTACATCGTAAGCTTTTGACAAGTCAATGCTCAATGCTATCACATGCAATCCGTTGTGTAATTTTTCATTTAATACTTCTCCTAGATTTTCCAATAAGTCTGTGGTGCTTTTGTTTTTTTGATATGCAAATTGATTGTTATCTATTATTTTATATTTTTCCAGGTAGTTGGTCAGTATTTGCAATATGTATTTTTCGAATATTTTACTTATTGTGTTTAATATGGAAATTGGCCTATAGTTTTCATAGATTGAAAGACTGTCTCCTTTATGTATTGGTCTGATAATGGATACTTTTAATTCATCTGGAAAAGTTCCTTCATTAATGCTTGAGTTGATAATTTTCGTTATAATTGGTGTTATTGAGTTGCTGTTCAGTTTTATATCTCTTTTAGCTATTTTGTCAATTCCTGGAGCTTTATTACAGTCCATCCCTTTAATTAAAGAACTAGTTTCCTCTAATGTGATTTCAGGTAAGTAAAAATAGTTATTTTGTGTTATTCTGTTTTTTTGGCAGGACTGCTAGGTTACATTCATGTACAATGTCTTCCGTCTGTTGTTGAAAAGTGATAGCAAATCTTTCTACTATTTGTTCGATTGAGTTACTTTTCCCAAAATTTCTTATTATGACTTCATCTAAAGATTTTTTCTCTGATACTCCAAGTAGTTTATTGTTTTCCAAGTGTTTTTAATGTTGTTTCTGCTGTTTTCAAATAGTTTGTTAAAATATTATTTCTTTAGCTGCTGGATTTTTTTTTTTTTTTGGGGTTAAGTCATTTCTGATTTTTTTATAATTTATTCTTAGTGTATCTTTTAATTTTTTATTTTTGACTGATGTCATGTTCCATTTTTTAAACAAGTTATCTCTTTGTTTTATCAGTTCATTGATATCTGAGTTTATCCAGGGTATCAATATTACCTTTTTTCTACTATTGTTAGATTCTTTAGAGACTAACGCTTTATCATATAAATTTTTTATTACTTTGTACAATACATTAGATGTTAGGGTTTGAAGATTAAATTCATTTAAGTTCATTAGTTCTTTTTGTAGTTTACTTTTGTTTATAAATTCATATTTTTTTGTTACATTTTCAAGAACTATCTTTTTATTTGTGAAATTACATGAGATTCCAATTAAATAATGATCTGTTATCTTGCTTTCTAGTATGAATGGGATTATATCTTTGGCTTTTCCACTAACAGCTATATGATCGATACATGAGCTCACTACTTTATCATTTTTTATTTCAACTCTCTTATCTTTTTTGATACAGTGCACTAATTTGTGATCTAACAAAATGTCTACGTAATCAATCATTGTTTTTTCGTCATTGCTAATGTTTATGTTACAATCTCCAATTATTATTTTGTTCATATTTTTATCTGTATTTAAAATTTCATTTATTTCTTGTAAATAAAGAATTTTCTTTTTTTAGAGTCGTCTATAACGCAAATATGCTTAATTTCATTTTATTCATTATTTCTTAAATTGACCTGTTAATCCTCAAAACTGATAACCTACCAAAGCCATAGTTCAAATTTGATATATCTTTTACAAATATCATTATGCCTCTCCTTCTCTTCTCTTGTTTTTTATGGTATCTATTAAAATTTGGCAAATGATCTATTCTAAAAGTCGTCATTCTTTTTGACCACTAATTTCACTCAAGATCAATCACATCCATATTGTTGGAAGCTATTTCTTTTAAACTCTTACCAAAAATTTCATCCCAATGCTTACTAATTGATTCTTATGTTTAAATTAATTATATTAAATTTCTCTTATATTTGCATTAATTACGTTGATTAAAATTCCTTAATGAGGTTGTAAATTTTGTTTCTTGAACTCTAAAATTATTAATAAAGGAAATATCCATAATTGTTTTTGTTTTTTAATCTTACCTTTATCTATCTGTTTAATTAATTTGTTCCAAATCTTCCTTACACCTTATTCTAATCACATTACTTCCCTCATTTTTTCTTATTAATGCTTTACCATTTTTAGCCCAGCTAAATTTGTAATTTTTTTCATTGGCCTTATTTTTGGCTTTCCATAATAAATTTGTGTTATATGGTGTTAAATTCTCATTGATATACAAAGGTTGATCATCCCCATTTTTAAATAAGTTCTTGTTTGGCATTTTCTTTCTTTTGCAGTTTAGGATTTTGTCTCTAATTTTTTTTAAATTGAATTTGACTATTAATTTTAGTTTTTGACGATTCGTGTTGTTTATTCCGTAAACTTCATCTATTACGCTCTCATTAATTTTTTCCCGACAAACCTTACTGAAAAAATCGACAATGTGTTTTTCCGCCAGTGATTCTGTTCCAAGTTTAACCCCACTTATTTCTACTACTTCCGGCAGCGGCAATACGTTCAAATAATAATAACAAGAACTACAACGACGACGACGACGACAAGAACAAGAATAACAATAACAACAACTACAACAACAACAACAACAATAACAACAATAACAATAACAACAACAACAACAACAACAACAATAATAATAATAATAATAATAATAATAATAATAATAATAATATATTTGTCACATACTAAATACGGCATACATGTATGACAAGTCAGGATATGTATATAATCATACAATACACAATACAGATATTTCTAAAAATTAAATACAAGTCATAAATTAAGTTTCAAATTCAATTCTCGTATTAAATACAATATCATGGAAAGCTAGTTAATTTTATACATGGAAGTGAAAGAAGACTTAAGTTAAAAATCAATAATAATAAAAAAATGAAGTTCTTCATAAATTCGTGCCTAGGTTGGGCTGGGGTTATGACCTTCTGTGTTCAGAGTAACAGAATCCTTGTTTCCCATGAGTGTTTTCTTTGTGAAGATTAATATTTCAAATATGTACATGCATGGGAGTGGTAGTATTTGTAATTTTTTGAACAGTGGTTTGCAGGATTCATGTTTGTGAGTGTTTGTCATTGTTCTCGATATTCGTTTTTAGATGATGAAAGTGTGAATACTTTCTGGGGAATTTTCACAGAATATTATTCCATATTTTAGGTGTGAGTGAACATTTGCAAAGTACACCATTCGCACTGTATCTAAGTTAGAATTTGACTTCAGGATGTATATGGCATAACATGACCTGGTAAGCTTTTTGTTTAGATTTGTGATATGGGAGTTCCATTTTAGATCATCTTGAATAGTCAATCCAAGTAAAGTTGTTTTTTGGACTATTTTTACAAGCATGTTTTTTATCATCAATTGTGCTGAAAGCTTTTCTTGAGAGAGTGGATTACGAACGTTTAGGGAGACAGTTTTATTAGTGTTTATGATGAGTTTATTTTCCTGGAACCATTTTACTAGTGCCTCTAGAACTGTTTGTGCTTCTTTTTGAAGAGTTTGTTGGGTACTTGCTTTAATAATATTTGTGCCATCTGCAAATAGGACCATTTTGCTCTTTTGTAGGGTCAGGGGCATGTCATTGATGTATAATAGAAATAGTATGGACCCTAGGATTGATCCTTGTGGCACTCCATAATTTATCATTCTAGGTTGGGAAAAATGGGAAGAAATCTTTTTATCTCTAACATGCCTGATTGTGACAACGATTTGAGAGGTAAGACTCTACCCCTTATTCCATAATAATAATCAAGTTATGCCAACAGTTTCTCATGAGATACACTACCAAATGCCTTTGAAAGATCAATGAATAATCCTGCTGTTTTTCTATTTGATTCCAAATTTCCACTGTCCTTGTCCTGGTGTGTCCTGGGAGTGTCAGGGAAAAATATGAAAAATGTCCCATGAAACACGCTCTGCCAGAGATGCCCCTCTCTTTCCTGCAGTGAACTCTCCAAATTCTAACAGAACACAGTATACGTAAATTATAAATTTTAAATAATAGTGATCTTGAACATAGTTTCAGAATACTTCAACATTCTATCACTATAATAACATATGTTATTCATTGAACTTTTTCCTTTGTCGGAATGGCAAAAATTACGTTGTGCCACAGCGACAAGACATGTTAGCCAACATTCGTGAAATGAAAGCAAATCATTTCTGCAGGTTAATCACTAGGCCATGCCCCCACGAATGATCCACGTGGTATGGCATCAGTGGCTGTCAAAAAACCGGTCACATGACTTCTTGTAATCAAGTACCCCCTACCACTATGTAATGCAGTGTAATCCTGCCTAAAAATCCATCCGTCCACCCTAGTGTTACCTAGTGTAACGTAATTCATGGACGACCTCTCACTGGCACTATTCGCGAGCCATGCCGCTTGGCCTGAGGCAAGATACATATACATGTATATGGAGCCTGGCTTCGTAAGTGCCAGCTGGTGCCAGTGGTAATGTCAAACATACTCACTGGTCACATGATTCGTGACGTATTGGTAATGCATAAAACGAGCACAAATCGGTGTGACGGACGGACAGCCCAACTCCGCCCAAATCCTTGCTTCACGAAGCTCCCGTGTGACGTGTCACAGATGATAATGTATCAAAAGTCGTGTTGCAATGACAGTATTAGTATATGGCGAGTGTAAGGAGCTCTTTGCATCATCCCAACGCATCTGGTTTATCTCACTACATTTTAACACTCGGATTGTGTCGTTTGACGTTATTTTATTTTAATATTAAGCACTCTTGGCATAAGGAATTATTTGGTTGGAAGTGCAATTGCGGGGGCAAACACGTCTTTATTAATCCTAGCTTTGTTTTAGTAGAAAAGAGCGCAGTACACAATGGGAATTTCGGGCCTGGATCGTGAACTATGGTCTATTAAAGGCTGTGTGGTTAATGTTTCTATTAAAGAACTAGTGGAAAAATATGGAAAAAATGTAATTGTTGTGGACGGATTTAATTTCTATGGACTGTATCTGTATCCAAAATTTGATTGGGTTTGTGGCGCATTTAGAGATCTTGTTCAAGAAATTCGTTTTTTTGTTGAATCATTCGAGCGCATCGGCATAAAACTCGTTTTCTTCTTTGTGGAGGGCAATTTGGACGAAGGGAGTGATAGTTGTGGAAGTCCATCCTGGAAAGATCGGCGTTCTGAGCACATTAAATATTCGCAGATGGTCTTTACAAAAATACCGAAATGGAACTACCATCAACACGATGTGAAGAAAAATCGTGCATATTACCATACGCCTTTAAACGCATTACCTGTGGTATTGTTTGCCCTTCGACATTTATTCAAATGCGAAGTACATTTTGTTTATGCTGGCGATCGCAATGATGCAGTTGCATACTACTCTGGAAACAACAATTGTCTAGCGGTACTTGGCCAAGACAACTATTACATTTTCTACCGTATGGTTCCTCGATATTTATCTATTAAACAGTTAAATTTGATAAAAATGACAACGGTTCAATATTGTCCAGCGGTTTTCGCACGACACCGGGATTTGGTGGGTCATTTGTATCCAATATTCTTAAAAGATGGATCTCCAAATTATGATCAAACTGACATATTATTTAAAATAGAAGCAAAATTGGATGAAAGTGAGAGTGTAGATGTGGCCAGAAAAAAAATTCATGACTACTTACATGGAAAAGAATTGAAAGAAGTGTTGGACGTGGGGGATCTAAACATTGAAAATGCAAGAAGTCATCTACATCAATTTATACTTAATGTGCTTAGATATAAATTGGGCTTCGATTATCCTGTTGTATGTGGCCCTCTAAAAAAATGGGATCTTATTAAATTGCGATCTCAGGAACTTTATGCTTCTGGTGAGATAAGCAGGTGTATAGAACGTATTTTAATGGAAAAAAAATATTTCAATGATTGCATTCTTGAAGACTTTACCGAACTACCACCAAGCAGTGAAGTGTACCAGTGTTTGAGGAATGAACTATATAATGTCCTTCTCTCTGAAGAGCCTAATCCGGAAGATGAGTCTGATGATAGTAATTCAGATGACCCTGAGACACCTGATGGTTTGAAGATTATTAAATGGAACAAGCGTATTCCATCTGATGGTGTGTTAGGTCAGCCAGGACCTGCTGGTGTATGGGAAAGAAAATTATTCTGTGTCACTGGACATAGTGAGCTTCATAAGTTTAAACTTATTCAGGATTGGTATATGAACCAAATGGCTTGTCCAAGCTGTGAATTGGTTAATGTGAAGATTACATTGCACACAAACTTGTTGCAGCTGTGGTGCAAGAATAACATAACATCAAATATTACTGAAAAAAAGTGGCAGTTGTTTCAGAGTTGCATTTCTGATAATTTACAGTGGCAGACTCTTAGTCTTCTTCCACCCACATTAGTTGTGCCTACTGTTGTCTTGTACTATTTATTTAATGTAGTACCTCTAAGGTTTAAAACAAAACCTTGGAATTTCTTAAAAATGTGGGAAGTGGAAGTGTTTATAGCACAGGCAGTGATGTTATCAAAGATTGATGCAGATTCATTATCCAGAATCAACATTGAGAAATTAAATCGGAGAGTGGTTAACTTAATTGCATTCTTTGTATATGGCTGCCATCATGTGCGTTTATTAATTGAAGCTTGTGGACACCCCATTTCAGAGCATGATCTTTGTGTCTTTCACTATTTTGATGGTAAACTGTTTCACTCTTTCTATGATCGGGCTGAATGGAGGCGCAATGCCAGAAATTTGTGTGATCAAGAAACATCTCCCTTATTTGAGAAGATGAAGCAGATAATTATTCCAGGACCTCTAGGAAGACATTGATATAAGTGTTAACCATGTTTTTTCTCTTTTTTTATAGTAATTAAGAAGGTTGATGTAAATAGAGCATATATCTGATAAACCTGTATATACCCATTTTAGGGAGATTTTGTTTGTGAATTCTCCCTTATTTGTCTTTATAAGTCTGCAAAATGTTATTACTATCTCTTTGAATTTGAGTTCACAAAGATAATGTAAAGAACATTGTAAAGAACATTTGCTCTCTGATGAGGACTGCTTCTGTATAATAAGCAACTTTGCTGTCTAAATATATAACTTTGCTGCTGTATAATAACCAATTTTTGACATATTATTTGCTTTCAACTGTTTTCAAAGTATTTTTAAGATTCATTAGGAACAATGATTCATATTTAAGTAACAGATTTGTTTAGACTTTTAAGCACCAATATTTGGGTTAGTCTTATAGTAGGCCTACTAATTCGAATGAAGAACAGGCAGACCACAATTGTTAAAATTGCTGTTGAGATGAATGTTTAAGGAAAAGCCTGTTAAAGCTCATGATGATGCTAAACAATCAGTTCTTTTGTGGAAGTTCTACAGAATAGCATTTTCTTCTTTCTTGACCATTACTGTGCATCGTGTAAATGTGATTAAAAAAATAATGTATGGAGATATAGACTGAAAGCATTGTATTTTTACTTGTATTTTGTTTTATTTATTATAGGTTGTTTTGCAACAACATGGCCATTAGGAATCCCAGATCAAATATTTTTCTATTAGTGTTTTGTAAAAGACTGAAATTGATAACAGTGTACTTTCATTCTATTAATTATTTCAAAAATGTTTTCAGAAATACTTTTATTTTGTATATTCAGTGTTGGCTTTCATTATTGTAGCAAAACAAGAACATGTATTTGAAAAGGATATGTAGAAAGCATAGCCGGCTATCATCCCCCTACAAAGGGAGTATAATCTTAATTTTAATTTTGCATATTTCTTGATTAATTGGAAAAATGTGCACTACACATGACAATATTTCTCAAATTTTAATAAGAGCTTAAATTTATGATATTGTATCCTATAAAAGTTGTAGATGTAGTAAAAGTTTCAAACCTCATTATCACAAAACATGAGAGTCTCATGTAAGCCCTTTTTAGTCCTCTTCAATTGTAAAAAGCAGATATACCAGTGAAAAACTAAGCTAATTACATTGTTGAAATCTATTTCTGCATGTGAAAGTAATATGTGTGCAACATATTGAAATTTATTTTCAATTTACTTCAAGAACAGAACTCACTTTGTTTATAGGTCAAAATAATCCAAATCAAACAGTTTTTTTAGAGGGAGAATGACTTTATTATAATGGAAGAACTTGACAGAAACATGAAGTTTTTAGTTAGAATATTTATTGGGAATGTAGGAGAAACATTGTTCATATTTAGTATATATTATCAATCTCTTTGAAAAGAAACTGTTTTAATGTTGTTTACTTTTTTAAACCAATTAGAAATAGTTGTTGTTTTTTTTTTACACAAAAAGGAGAAGAAATGCAATACAAAAGTGCTATCAGAATGTTTAAGAATAATTGAAGAACTGACAAGTTCCATGTCTGATTCAAGATGTGTGAAAGAAGTATATGCAATGCTTAAGTTGTATTGTTATCCATAATTCATGAACACATGCTTGTGAATGTCAATTTTGATTTCATTTCAGTGGCTTATTACTATTCTATGAATGCAGTTTCTAACACTGATGGAAAGAGCAAATAATAGTGAATAATAGAAAATATTTTTTATTATTACAACTGTAATTTTTAAATTGTGAACATCACATGAATTTCAGGATGAGAACTGCAGTATGTACAGAAGGCATAAGGGTACTACTATTAAAGATACTTAGTTAATGACTGATGGGATAATTTAAGGGATGAGACTAAATTGTGCTTATTTTAAAATTAAACATGTACTTCAGAAATATAAATTTAAGTAGCATTTTCTTTTTCTCTTTAATTTCTTTTAATGAATTTTTTCCTTATTTTCCTGTATTATCTTTCATTCAGTCATTGAAATTCAGTCATTTTTAAAATGCAAAAATTATCTCAACTATTTCTTAAAAAGACAGATTAACCAAACTATTTTCTTGAAAATCATACAGCATTTACAAATTTAAAAAAATATTTATGTGAATAATTAAAATAAAATGCATTAATAGAAACAGAAGCAAATATGGAAGTTAAATAAAATTTATAAGTCATGATTGATCACTTTTTTGTAATTGCCCATTCCATTCTTGTGGATAATGTCTTTATATATATCCCCCGAAGATATTATTGGTACTAAAAGGTCATAACTTGCAAAAAGTATGAAGTTCTCATGAGTTTTATGTGGGGAGGGGGGAAAACATGAATGAATCTCTTAAGTCTTGGTTCTAAAGTGATTTGATTTCAAAACTTGTGTATAATAGTCCAGAAATACCCTAATACTTATTGGTTAATTTTAAATTTATTGTTAGAACAATCGAAAAGTATTTAAAAACATAATTTTTGGAATCAAAAGAATTATAAAAAGTACAAGTCAGAAAAGTACGAGATATTATTAATTCTTTAAAAACGAAAAATATTATATTATACAAATAAAAAAAAGAATATTATAATATAAAGTTTTAAAAGGTTGGAAAGATAAGGAATTCAAACATCATTAGAATCTTATAAAAGATTCCCCTGAATAAGGTATTAAAAAATTCAAGGGGTATGTGAGAAGCTAAACAATTACTGTGATATTAAAATAAGATTTTGAAAAGTTTCTTAACCTATTAAAAAATATTTTTTTATACTTTTTCGTCACTAAGTTCAAATGAAATAATATTATTGAAAAAAATTAACAAAAACTTAGTAGAACCAAATCTTGGAACTTGGTCTAACAATCTCAAAACACCGGGAGTGATTTTTTTTCAGATTTTTTAGATTACTTGATCAAAGTTTAAAAAAAATAAAAACTATGGTATCTGCACTTGTTTCAGGCTAGAAAAAAGTTTGTTTTTCCTTAGCTTAATATTTATTCTTGAATAAGTATAAGTATACACAATCTGGACTTGTGCAAAAACTCTGCACATTGTTAAATATAATTGTTTTCAAATTTAAAATTGATTTCATCATTATCCTAAAGGCCAAAGGTGCTGTGTCGCTGCTGCCATGATATTCTGTCCTCCACTGTCCTTTTCATATAGTTTTTGAATTTTAATTGGATTTGAAGTTGTTCCAGAATTATTTCAGGTCTCCCTCTTCATTTTTTTTCCAACTAGCATTTTCAGGGAACCTTGTCGAAAGCTTTCTTTAAGTCTATGAATGTTACATATGTGACCCTGCTCATATCCATTCTTCTGTCTAAGATGCCCCTGAGTGCAATGATAGTTTCTCTCATACCTCTTCCTGACCTAAATCCGAATTGATCTTCCAAATTTTGTTCAACTTTACCTTTTATTTGGTTTTGATTATTGTGGTGAGAAATTTGGCAGTATGGTATATTAGAGAAATTATTCTATAATTTTCACATAATGTTGTGTTTCCTTTTATATGTATGGTAATGATTTCGCTTTCTGCAAATTCTTCAGGTATTTGACCAGTCTTGTAGCTCTTGTATATTAGTTTAAACATATTATAATTCAGAGTGTTTTCACTAAATTTGATTAGTTCTGATAATTCATCTGGTCCTGTGGCCTTCCTGTCTTTGAGCTCCACTACCACTTTATCAAATTCATTTCTTAGTATCATTGGTCCTTTGTCATCTTCTGATACATCAGCTTCATTTTTTATCTATTCCCATTCATTCTCAATTTCTACACCACTGTATACTTTTTCTAAATAGTTTTCCAGCATGATCACTTTTGCGTCTTCCCATACTAATTTTCCGCCTTCATCTCTCAGGACATGTAATTTTATCTTGATTTTATATTCTAGTGATATGCCATATCTATTCTTCTATTTTTATGTTTTCTATATGTCCACAAGTGTCTCCCATCCACCTCTCTTTTGCCTTCTTGCACATCTTTGTAATTTTGTTTTTTATCATCCTGTAATTCTGCCAACCTTCTGCTGAATAGACTTTCTCTGTTTATTTCTTTTACTGATCATTTGAAGAATTTCTTCTGTTATCCATGGTTTCCATGGTAAAAATTTTGGTTTGTCTAAAATTTCGTCTGCAGATGTAAGGGTTTCTTTGATATTTTCTCATTGCTTAATATTACTATACGAGTCATTAGGTATTATGTTTTCTGTTTTCAAGGCAAATTTGTATTGAGTTTCTGAGCATTGAAATTTATCTAAATTCCATTTCCATTTTTTCTTATTATCTTTCCTCAGTCTGATATTGCATTTTGCAAGGACAAAAACATAACCACTGTCCATATCAGGTCCAGGATAGCACATTTTATTTGTTTTTTAAATCTGTCTGACTAATATGTAGTCATTCTTCACTCTTCATATATCCCCTGGTGCTTCTCAAGTATACCTACGTCACAATGGAACTTGGAACATAGTGTTAGTAATCGTCAAATTATATTGTTCGCAAAATTCTAAAAGTCGTCTTCCTTTTTCGTTCATGTTTCCTAAACCGTATCTGCCAGCAGTATTTTTATTTATGTGAGTTCCTACTGTGGCATTGATGTCTCCCATTAAAATGATGTCCTCGAGATTTGTCGTAATCAACAGTTCAATTTGTTCTTAAATCAATTCTAAATCTTCATCTGAACTTGTTGGAAAATACACTTGAAGAAGAATCAGGTCAACCGGTTTTGTTGCTATTCTTAACATCATTAATCTACTGTTTACATAAAAGGTATTGGTGACGTTCCGAGCCCACTCTCCTTTCAATAATATTGCAACACCATTGTTCGATTTTTGCATCTCCACTGTATATAATTCTAAATTCTTCTTTGTTAAAATCTCCTTTACCTGACCATCTAATTTCTGACAAACCTAAAATGCCAACATGCTCCTCTTTCATTATAGTTTTAATTTCCCTACTTTCTTACATTCCTTGTTTCAA